TCACCCAAAGCCCAGCCACAGGATGCAGCTGAGAGCAGACTTTTAACTAGGAACTCTAGAACCCCATTCAGTGCTGCTGGCTCCTTATCCTGCTTCCATCATCCCATTGTCACCTTCCCTTTCTGCCATGCTGGCCCCATGCCATTGCAAAGCACTGCCAGCCCTTGGCAGAGCCCTGGTGGTGCCTGGCTCTCCTCTCACTTGCTGTGCCTGAGAAGCAGCCTGGCCACTGCAGTCACACTGGCCAGGGCTGCCTTCTCCTGCACTACTTGGCCAAGGGGAGGGTCACATCCCAGTGGTGTCACCGTGCCCTCCTGAGCCCATTTTGCATGGCCAGTGGGGCCTGGCCATATTCCAGCACAGGTTCATGCAATGCTGATGTGCAGATGTGCTGGCAGCAGCCTCCAGACACAACAGTTTACAGGCAGGAAAAACTTTCCATCCCTCCACAGCAGTTGTGGGAGAGCCGGGACATGCACCTACCCCATGGGGAGCCCTGGTGTGGGGCACAGCAGGCTCAGCCTGACCCCGAGCTTGGCAGCCTTGGCTACAAGTGGGACCACTTGCCTCCATCATCCATCAGTCACCAGACTACTGCTGCCTCCACAGCAGCTAAGGTTCCCCACAACTGGGAGCATCCCCTTCGCTTTGGACATCCCAAGAGCTGCTGGGCAGAGAGGGCAGCTCGTTGGTCATGACTTCATCCTGATGTCATGTTTTGATTCCTTTTGCCACAGGGATGTGGTCTTGGGCAGCAGCAGGATGGATGGAGGGTGCTCTAAGCTGTCCCCTCTGGCACAGAGGAGCTGGGGGGCTACGGTCTATTTCCCTTGTGAAGTGCAGCCTGGAGGGCTGGCATGGCTTTTTCCCACCCCAGACTCATGAGGGTAGGTCAGCAGGTGCTAAGGGCTGACCATTTCCCACCCTGGTCTATTTTGTGGTCTCGGGTTGCTGGGTTGGCCCATGGGGTGACACAAGCATTCCCCCAGGCTGCACAAGGTGTCACCCTGTCCCTCTGGGCTCACCCCAAGCTGACTGGTGATAGCAGCCAGGCGTCATGGGCCCCTATCCTGGGATGCTGGGCTGGGTGGCTGAGTGCCACATCATGGAGCTGGCGGTGGCTGGTGCTGGAAGACATTCCTGGAGCATGTCCCAACTGGCTTCTGTGGCAGATGAGGTTTCCCCCTCCAGGCTCTGGCCAGCTCCTCTGCTCTTCACCCGCCTCAGCACCAGCCCCCTGCTGCTCCCCTCCCCAGTGTAAAAGTGCTGAGAGAGGTGGCTTCTCCCTCCCAGCAGCCCCAGAGCTGTCCCATTCATCCCCACTGGTTGGGGATGCTTATGTCGTGCCGGAGTGAGGAGCACTGCAGGACCACAGTAGGGCCAGAAAATTAAAATCCTGTAAGGGTTGTGCTGAATCCCAGCCCATGTCAGATCAGCACCAGAGGCAGTGGCTGCAGTGGGTGGGCAGAGGCTGGGGGCAACAAGCCCCACACCACCACGAGTGCAGCAGGCTCAGTATCTCACCGTGAAGAGTGACTCATCCCATCCCAGAGAGCTGAAACCTCACCTGGGGCTGAAGATTTTCTACTTGTTTCCCACTAAAGCAGCAGTGAGGCCTCATGTCTGGCAAGCATGGGCAGGGAGAAGCTCAGTTCCTGTGCTTCCCCTGTGCACACTCTCAAACCAGGGGCTCCCTTCCGTGGGGCTGGCGTGACCCCTTTGAGGCTTAGGGTAAGTGCTTGCCTGGGCAGTGCCCTGCAAAGACCAGGGTTGCTGGGACCCTGTGGAGGTCTCCTGGAATGTCTCCCGATCTGACAGCTGCTGATTGTCATTTGGGAACCAGGTTGGCATGCACACGCAAGGAGCTGGGTTCAGTGTCAGCCCTACAAATTTTGATCAGTGTCAGGGTAGAGGAATCAGTTTGCTTTGGGGCTGAGCCAGGTGGGAGATGGGGAAGCCCAAGTCTGGGCTGTGGGAATGACTAGTGGCTGGGCTGCCAGCCTTCCAGGCTTTGAGAAGGGTTTACAGCCTTTCGGGATGTTCCCGGAGGGACTGGCGTGCAGCAGCGCGGGGGTGCCCGTGAGTCACTCACACCTGGTGCTCTCCATCTGCAGAGGCAGGACCGTCCCGCGCCGGGGGCCGCGGATTCTTTCCCTGGTCCTGGTATGCGGAGGGAAGCTGCGAGACACCGCGGAGGCGGAGACATTCCGGTTTTGGGGACCCAGCACCCCTGCGTGCCCCACTCCGGTGCACATGTAAGGGAAAGGCTGCTGGCGAGATGGTCAAGACGCTGCCTGGCTCTCCATGGGGGACTGGGCTTTGGGGACCACCCCAAACCAGTGCCTGCCCCAGTCCTGGGGGCCGGGGTGGTGGGCAGAGCCCCCGGCATGGCTGTGGAATGTCGCTGCCCCGGTGCCGCTGCCTGCGGTGCCCGCTGGGCGATGCTCGCCCCGGCGCTGGCCCCGATCGCAGGGGTGACCCCCAGCCGCCCGTGCCCTGTCGCCGGCACCGTGCCGTGGGGCTGCTCCTCCAGCTCCGGGCCCGGGGCCAGCCACAGAGCCCTTGGCAGGCCCCTTCGCTCCCTGTTTAACGAAGCCCCTTGTCTAATTGGGACAGGCCGCCCTGTCTTCATTAAACGGGCTCTGGCGGGAGGAGGGTTTAGGGATGGTCCTGACCTGAGGATGCTGGATTCACGGCCGGACCCACAGGGCTGGGGCAGGCAGGGGGAAACCTGTGGCCACGGCGAACTTCGGAACCCGCCCGCCAGGTTTGGGGGCCAGGGCTGGGGTCTAAGGAGAGGAAGGCTAATGAAGAGGAGGGGATGCACTGCTTGCTGTGCCTTTAAGAAGAGAGAGGACATCGCCGCTCCTCCCCTGCCTGGGAACAGCTTGTGCCTGGGAAAGTTGCCTGCAGCCGACCCTGGAGCATCTTTGCTCCGTGGCTGGTGGCCCTGCCCCGGGCCTCCAGCTGTGAGGTGGCTCTGGGCCCCAGAGATCCCCACTCCCCTTGCTGCCCACAAGAAGATGCCCCTGGACCTGTCCATTGCCCTGCCACAAGCCAGAGGGAAGCCCCTGGGCCAGTGGCCAGGGGAGCACAGGTATGTGGGGTGCTGGGGGCAGGGGAATGTGGGCTGACCAACGGGACAGAGGATAGGTGGCAGGGAGTGCATTGCAGGTTTCTTTAGCCAGGGTCAGCCCCAGGTGAGCACAGGCACCAGTGGGGAGGATGAGGTGCTGTGTGATGTGCCCCAAGGAGCAGTGTGGTCCCACAGGTGCACTGGGGGTGAGGAGCACCCTGAGAGTCAAGGGTGCACCCTGGGCTGAAGAGGAGCCTCTGAGGACCATTCCACCAGTCACAGGATGGACAGGAAGTGAGACCAGGGCAGCACAAGGTCCTTGCCTGCCTTGCTGGGCATGTTCTCCCTTTTTCCTCCTCCCAGCAACTGCAGTCACATCACAGTGGCTTTCCAGCAAGTTTCTCCAGCTCTGGGGTAGGTCTCAGCCACAAGTCTGCTGTGAGATGGTGTTTTGAGAAGGGCAGGATGGTGTTCCCACAGCTGACTCCAGTGCAGTCCCCGTACTAGAACCATGGGTGCTAGGGCCCCATATAATGGGTACCCCCAAGCCATGTGTGCAGGAAACATCCTGGGTGAGGCCTGGCTGTCCTGCAGCCTCGTGGGATCTGTGCTGGCATGGGGAGCAGCTCTTCACCACCAGTGTCCTTCCCAGGGCTACTGCTCAGAGCCAGGCTTTAACCCAGATGGTGCCAGGGGCTCAAGTCCCTGTGGCAGCTCCATCCAGCTCTGCCTGAGGCCAAGCCCCAGGTCTCCAGGACACATTCCCCTGAGATGGATGGATGGATGGATGGATGGACGGATGGATGGATGGATGGATGTGGGTGGAAGTGGGTGGCCAACTCCTGACTGGAAGGTGCCAGAGCTGCTCACCTTCCTGGAAGATGCAGATGCTGAAGAGAAAACTGTCTTGAGCCTTATTGGAGCCCACCCAGCCCCTCAAGGAGTGCCAAATCCAGCAGCAACCGTTCCCGGGTGTCTGCTCCTGCTTCATCCCCATCCCGGAGCCGCTGCGCGTCGTGCAGCCGCGGGGCAGCCCGGGGTGGCACTCGAGCGGGAAGAGCCCGAGGAGCTGCTTTCTTTCCTTCCTTCCCTGTCAGGGGAGCGGGCTGGAAAAGCCCTTTGGGAGGCCGGGCTGGGCGGGGGCCGTGCCGCTCCGCTCCCCCCGGACGGTGCTCCGGGCCGCCCTCCATAAAGGGGCGGGAGCGCCGGGGGCCGGTGCGCGCCGGCACCGCCTGCGCCCGGCCCGGCTCGGCACGGATCGGCTCGGAGCGCTGCGGGACGGCGCGGCCCCGCGGGGGCGGTGGGTGAGCGCGGAGCTGTGGCGGGGGTCCCGCCGCGGGTGGGGGCACTGCGGGACAGGAGCGAGCCCCTGCTCGGGCACCCGTGGGCGCTCGCCCACCCTCCCGCGGCGGGGCTCGCACCGCCTGGGCCGGGCTGTGCTTGGGCCGGGACCCGGCGTAAGCCAGCGCGGGGGTATCGGGCCAGGTGCCCTCCGCCGCCGGTGCGTGGAAGCGGCGGGACAGGGGGCTGGCAGGCAGGGGGCTGGCAGGCAGGGCTGCCCACGCTGATCCCCGCTGCCCTTGAGCACCTTCCTGGGGCGGGAGGAGCCCCTGCGGGTGGGGGAGCCAGGTACAGCCAGGTACAGCGGCCGGGGTGCGCCGTGGCGTGGGGCAGGCGTGGGGCAGGGGAAGGGGTGGCGGAGGCAGAAGCCGGGCTGTAGCCGGGCCAGGAGCTCCCTGTATCCCCCGCACCGTGACGGCCCCACCGGCTCTTCACGGGCCAGCTGCTGCCCGCCTGCCCCGGCCCGAAGTGGGGCTCTCCCTGCGCCGTGGAGTGCCTGGGACGGTACTGGCACCCTGCCCTCCCAGCGCTTAGGGCTGGTGTGAGACTGTGGTGGCAGCATCCTATCCTGCAGGCTCCCACGATGAGCAGCCAGCTCCTGCTCCTGGCTGTACTCCCGGCGCTCCTGGGTCCTCCAGCTGCCATGGCACAGAAGGGGAGCCAAGGTGGGTGCTGAGAACTGGGTGCACACCGTGGGTGGGACAATAAGAAGGCTTCAGCACCAATGTGCCACAGTGCAAGTCTGTGTTCTGAGTGCTGTCACTGCTCTGCAGCAGTGTGCGAGGATGTGCTGGAGGCTGACATCGCCTTCCTGGTGGATGGCTCATCCAGCATCGGAAGGAACAACTTCCGTGCTGTCCGCACCTTCATGGACGAGCTGGTGGGGCCCTTTGTGCAGGTGGTGGGTGAGAAGGCAGTGCGCTTTGCCGTGGCACAGTACAGTGATGACCCACGGTGAGCCCAAGGGAGGGGGCACGTGGGGTGCAAGGTGGCAGGGCTGGGAAGTGACAGTGTCCCCCTGCACTCCCCAGAGTGGAGTTCTCATTCTCCCAGCACACTGATGGCACAAGTGTCCGGAGGGCCATCCAGCAACTGAGCTACAAGGGTGGCAACACGCGGACAGGCGCTGGCTTCCGCTACGTTGCTGACAACTTCTTTGGCCCCACGCAGCGCCGGCCTGGGGTCCCCCAGGTATGTGTAGAGCAATGGCCCTGGCAACGTGGGGAGAAGTGTCAGGTCCATGGGCCCCATGCTGGATGTCACAGTTCGTTCCTGGCCCTGCAGATCTGCATTCTCATCACGGATGGCAAGTCCCAGGATGATGCCGAGGGGCCGGCAGCAAAGCTGAAGAGCCAGGGCATCAAGGTCTTTGCTGTGGGTGAGTGAGGCTTCTGCACTACATGAAAGAGTCTTCTGCTTGGTTCAGGTTCCTCCCTCACCCATCATCTCCCTCTGTCCCAGGTATTAAGAATGCTGACCACAAGGAGCTGATCCGTGTGGCCTCAATGCCTACTGATGCCTTCTTCTTCTACGTTGGTGATTTCAAGCTGCTGGACACGCTGGTGCCACTGATGACGCGCAGGGTGTGCACGACTGTTGGGGGCACCCTGCGCCTGCTGGGTATGGGTCCCCATCCTTCTCCCTGAGGGACACAGATGCTGCCAGACTGCGCACCCTTAGCATCTGTCCTGCCCCCCAGAATGACCTCCTGGCTATCCCATCCCTTTGGGCACACATCTGTCCTGCCCCAGCAAGATCTCCCCTCTGCTTCATGCACTGTGGAGCCAACAGCCCCTGTGCTACCCCACAGATGGGCCAAGCCACACTGGCCCCTCCAACCTGGAGATCCCGGAGCGGGGCCTCAACCATCTGCAGATCCGCTGGAGAGCAGCCAGCGGTCCCATCACCGGCTACCGGGTGCAGTACGTGCCACTGACAGGGCTAGGGCAGCCCATCATGGCAGAGAGGCAGGAGGTGAGTGCCTCCACCTGACTGCTCAGAGTTCCTGGGGCTTCCTGATGACTCCGTGTGTGACCCGGGGAGGATGAGGGGTGACATTGTTCCTGCCCAGGTGAGCGTGGGGCCACGGGAGACGAGCACTGTGCTACGGGGACTGCGTGTTGGGACAGAGTACCTGGTCACTGTCACCGCCCAGTATGCCAACAGCATCGGCGAGTCGGTGTCTGGCCGAGCACGAACCCGTGAGTGTCCATGTCCATAGGGACAGGGGTGAGTGCAGGCATTGGGTGCTTGCAGCACATGGGGCTGGGGACTCATCCCTGCTTCTGTGTGCCTCCAGAAAGCCGTGCTGGCTCCACGGTGGATTTTCGCGTGGTGGAGACTGGACCAACCTTTCTGCGGCTGGCCTGGCGGGCTGGCCCTGAGCCCCCCCAGGGCTACAGCCTCAGCTATGCCGTGCAAGGTGAGGGGATGCTCCCTGCGAGGGTCGGTGCCGCTTGGGCAGCGTGTTTTTGTGCAGCCACCTGGGCAGGGGGATGTGTGGATGGGAGTTAATGCAGGGATACATGCCCAGGGTGTGTGGGTGTGTACCCGCCCACCTTCTCCACGGCAGCCGGCAGGCGTGTGCTGGGTGTGGGGCGCGTGTGTGTGCGGAGGCTGGAGGCAGCCTGTGTATTCCTGCACCCGGAGGCTTCGTGCGCAAGGCTCAGGGTGTGTGCTTGGGCGTGTACGATGGCTGGGGGCCTGGTGTGGGCCCCCATGGCTGCTGCACATGGGAGGCAGGGAGCAGACCCCTGTCCCAGCCAGGCACCAGGCTGGAGCCACACACCTGGCAGCCCCACCCTGGCTTCAGGCGCTCCAAGGGGTGCCCCTGCCTTGGCCCACGTCCCAGCCTCTTCCCGGTGCTCCCCACCCCTGGCACTGACTGGCATCCTCAGGGCAGGGTGCAGGCCCACAGCCACCCCTTCCCTGCTGGGCCTGGTGTGTGCCATGTCCCTGTGTCCCCCCACACCCCTCCAGGACAGCCTCAAAGGGAGGAGAAGAGCTTGACAGCCAGCGCGCAGTCGGCCACGCTCAGCAACCTGCAGCCCGACACTGAGTACGTGGTGGTGCTCCGGCCCCGCTATGCACAGCAGCCTGCTGTCCCTGTCACCCTCACCGCCCGGACACGTAAGTACTGTGCCCTGCCCTGGGCCCAGCCGGGGTTAGGAATGGATTCCCAGCACAGGGATGCCCCCCTCCAATCCTTGGGATGCCCTATTGGGATGGGGCTGCCTGGCCCGTTGCTGCCTGTGGGGGTGGGGATGCTGGTGAGCATGGCTACAAAGTGGTGCTCTCAGCCCCAGAAGTTGCTCCCAGGGCAGGATGCAACACTCTGCGTTCCTAATTTCCTTTTCGGCCTTCTGGGAGTGTTTCCACCAGAGCTTTCCTCCCATGACATAAAAAATGTTGACTGAAAATATGCAGGGCTTGAGTACAGTGCTCTGTGGGAGGAAAGTGTGGTTTCCACCAGGGCAGAGGCTGTTGGAAAGCATCTCCGGGTAGGAGTGGGGGTGAGGCCCCAGGGCAACACCTTTGCAAGCATCAGATTTTGGCAAACCAATTCCTTCAGCTGCCTCAGGCAGTCTTAACCCACAGAAAGTATTTAAGGCATTAAGAGGAAGACATTTGAGCTCCATTTTGCACAAGTTTGGTGTTTTGAAGGAGCCGCCGGAGCGCGGGCTGCACTCAGTGACCTCAATGTGGTTAGCATCCATGAGCAGGGGCAAGGGGGCTTCCTGGAGACAGCAGTTTGCAGGTGAAGGTGCTTCCTGCTGGCCCCTGCCCCATGCTCAGGTGGGAGATGGACAGTCACCTCACTTCCACAGGGCACCTGGTGGGCGTGCAGCACTTGAGTGTCCACAACGTCTCAACACAGAGCATGCTGCTGGCCTGGCAGCCTGTCAGTGGGGCTACTGGCTACCGGCTCTCCTGGGCCACCCGCACAGGTAGGTGCCTCTCCCAGAGCTTGTGCCCCTTCTGCTGGTGTCCCCTGTGAGGAAGGACAGGAGGGAGCTGGTGGCACCTGCTGCCTGAGCTCCCCAAGGGACTGCTGCACTGGCTCCCACAGGGCAGGACAGGCACAGGGTGGACCTGGATGCTGGGCAGATGTCACATGCATTGGTGGGGCTGCAGCCCAACACTGACTACGTGGTGATGGTGGCCCCACTCTTCAGGCAGCTGGAGGGGCCCACAGCCACTGTGCGGCAGAGGACAGGTAGGTGTTGGGTACAGGTGATGCCATCCTGCTGCTGTGCATGGGAGGAAGCAGGGACCAGCCCTGGCAACCCCTGTCCTTGCCATGTGCGGGGACCAGAGACATGGGCTGGGTGGCTGGCTGGCAGCAGAGTGGCACAAGGTACCCTGGCCCATGGGATCCCTCTTACAGAGGCAGGTACAGACCAGATGCTGCAGACCAACATCCTGGGCCCCACATCCATCCAGGTGCTCTGGACCAGTGCCCGTGATGCTCGTGGCTACCGTCTAGAGTGGAAGAGAGCCACAGGTGGGCTCGGGGTGCCTGTTGCCCCTGTGGGTCCTCCATGCCAGCAGCTGGCTGTGATCCTTCCCTTCCTGCAGGACCAGAGCCCCCCAGAACGGTGTCTCTCCCCAGCAGCACCAATACTTACCAGCTGACGGGGCTGAAGCCAGGCACCGAGTACCGCATCACCCTCTACACGCTCTACGATGGTGGGGAGGTGGCCACCCCCGTCACCACCTTTCAGACAGGTGAGTGCTTCTAGGGGTCCCCTAAGTTGTCCCCCACCGCCCCAAGCCTTTGGCATGGAGAGATGTCCCTCTGGGCATTGCTCAGCCTGAGGACTGCCTCGGCCATGCGACCCCTCAGCTGTCTGGTCACAGCCCAGGATGCGTATGGGGGTCGCTCTGTCCAGGCTGTGCCACTCCAGCTGTGCCTTACATGTCCCCTCACAGGCGTAGAGGCACCCATGGGTGCTGTGTCAGACCTGCGGCTTGTTGAGGAATCAGGCAGATGGGTACGGCTGAGCTGGACCGGTGTCCCCAGTGCCACCGAGTACAAAGTGGTGGTGCGCAACAACCAGGGTGAGTCTGTGGGCAGGGGCACGGGTGGCACCTGGGGCATTCTGCCCAGCTGACACCAAGTGACCACACTGCCCTGCTCCTGGCAGATGGCACAGAGAGGACGAGGCGCATCCCAGGCAGCCAGACGGGACTGGAGCTTGGTGACCTTCGGGAGGGCATCACCTACCTGGTGCGTGTCTCGGCACTAGCAGGTGGTCAGGAGGGCAGTGCTGCCACGCTCACCATCCGCCTCAGTAAGTCCACATCAGGGTTTGGTGCCAGGAGTTCTGGTGCTGCATGTTCCCACTCCGGCATGCATCTGTCCTCTATCTCCCTGCAAACCCCCTTGGGGTGGCAGCTTGGCTGTGGGGTCCCTTTGGACTCCCCAAGGTGACACAGTGGTACTGTGGGGTGGTGCAGAGTATCCAGAGGTGGGCAGCATTTCAGACCTGCGGGTGATGGAGGCCGGTCCCAGCCAGCTGCGGGTCACCTGGCGAGGGCTACCAGGCGCTGGGGGCTACCTGCTGACGTGGCAAGGCAGTGACGGTGAGTGTATGGACCATGGGATGCTGTGGCAGCAGTGCTGGAGCCCTTCCTATCCCAGCCATCTCTTAGGTGTGAAGAAATCCCGCTTCCTCCCTGCTGACCCCACCACCTTCACCATCGAGGGGCTGCAAACCAACATCGTCTACACCATCGGTGTCTCAGCCATTGTGGATGGCCGTGAGGGCAGCCCTGTCACTGCCACGGGACGGATAGGTGAGGTAACCCCTGCCTGACAGTGATGTCTGGTGCCATTTGCTATGAACGTGGGTGACAGTGGTCCTCTTGGTGTCACAGTGCCAGAGCAGGTGGGGAAGGTGACCCAGCTGGAGGTGCAGGCATCCAGGAGCAATGTTGCCCGTGTCACCTGGGTCGGTGTGCCGGGAGCCACTGCCTACCATGTGGTGTGGAGCCGCAGGGACGGTACTGTGGGATGGGGATGGGGGCGGGCTGTGATTGCGGTAGGGTGGGGGGCCTGATGCCACAGTCCTTGGCAGGGAGTTTGGAGAACAGTCGGCGAGTTCCTGGCCACATCAACTCTTTCGACATCCCCAACCTGGAGGGAGGCGTCTCCTACATTGTGAAGGTGACGGCACTCATTGGCAACCGGGAAGGCAACCCCGTCTCCGTTGTCGTCACCACCCGTGAGTGCTGGGGCAGGGGGCATCACCCCAGGGTGGCACTGGGCACTCCTGACCCTAATGTCTGCCCCTCTGCTCCACAGCGGAGGCAGTGCCCCTACGCCCCGTCAGCGGCTTCCAGGTGACCGAGGCCTCGGAGCACCGCCTGCGCCTGGCCTGGCTGCCAGTGGCTGGCAGCACCGGCTACCGTCTGTTCTGGCGCCTGGCTGAAGGCAAGTGTAGCTGGTTGGCAGCCCTGCATCCCTGCCAGCCCCCACTGCACCCCCTCACCCCTCTCTGCCCCTGCCAGGGGGGCCCCAGCATAGCCAGCAGCTCCCAGCCACCTCCAGCTCTTATGATCTGTCGGGACTGGAACCGGGCCGGCGCTACCATATCAGCATCACCAGCCTGGCTGGCAGCCGAGAGAGCGAGCCAGCCACCATCACTGCCATCACCAGTAAGGGACTGCCTGGGGCCAAGGCAGCAAAAGCCCCCATGGCTTGAGCCCAGAGAGGCACCCAGGGACTGGACTGTCCCAGCACTGGGCTGGAGAGAGAGCAAGTTGGGGGCTGCCCCTTGAAGCTGGGACACCCTTTCTTCTCCTTTGGTAGCTGCCGCAAGCCGCATCACCAGCCTGAGGGTGACGGAGGTGCAGAGAGATTCGGTGACTCTCACCTGGACCCCAGTCCCTGGTGCCTCTGGCTATGTCCTCTCCTGGAGCCCTCCCGCAGGTGAGATGAGTGGGTGGCCCCAGGATGGTGGGCAGCATCCCCACAGGGGCTTTCTGATCCCTCTGACTGTCCCCTGGGTGGCAGCTGGCGGGGAGAAGAGGCAGACACTGCCCAGCACTGCCAGCTCCCAGCAGGTCTCTGGGCTGCGCCTGGGCCAGCGCTACACCTTCACCCTCCGCCCGCTCCTGGGGAGCGCGCCAGGTGCCGAGGTGTCCGTCAGCGAGCGCACAGGTACTGGGGTCACTGAAGGGGTGGGCTGGGCTTTTCTCCACTCTGGTGCTGGCTTCACCCCTTCCCGGCCTGCAGTCTGCAGGGATGCCCTCGGTGACGTGGTCTTCCTGGTACACGGCACCCGCAACAGCTCCTCTGGTGCCGACGCTGTCCGCACGCTCCTCTCCAACACCGTGTCTGCCCTGGGGCGCCTGGGCCCTGAGGGCACACAGGTAGGCTGCTGCCACAGCACTGGGGGCTCGGGGGGCTTGGGTGGGCCGTGGTGCCCACTGCTCCCCTGCGCCCTTGCAGGTGGCCCTGGCCACATACAGCTACCGCAGCCTACCCTGGCTGCTCCTCAACCGCTCCAGTGACCTGCCTGCTGTGCTGGAACAGATCCGCACCATGCGCTATGAGGAGCCCAGCGGCAACGCCATCGGTGAGGGGGGCACTAGGAGCTGGGCAGTGGTTTCTGGGATCCTGCTGACTGGTCCTTTCTTCTCCCTCTCTAGGGGCAGCCATCACCTTTGCCAGGACCTACCTGCTGAGTCCTGGCGCAGGGCGCCGTCCCGGGGTGCCAGCAGTGCTGGTGGTTCTGGCTGACAGCCCTTCTGGGGATGATGCCATCACTGCGGCCAGGGATGTCAAGGCTGCGGGTGAGGACAATGGGGTCTCAGCAGGCTGTGCAGGGACTTCTGTGGGGTGCTGAGGGTGCTTTCGGCTCAGGGGTCCAGGTGCTGGCAGTGGGCATGGAGGGGGCAGACCGGGAGCAGCTCCGGCGCATGGTCACCAGTGAAGACCCGCGGTACATCTACCATGGCAGAGACCTGGCAGAGCTGGAGGGAGAGCTCACTGACGACCTCTGCACAATCATCTCCACCAAGGTAAGGGCCAGAGAACCTCGGGGGTGTGGAGGAGAAGCAGCCCCATGTAAGCCGGTGGGTCTCCTATCCCTGTGTTCACACAGGCTTGTCTTTTCTTGCCAGCCAGCGCCAAAGCCGAAGCCCTGCACCGTGCAGTGCCCCAAGGTGAGCTTCTCGAGGCTGTGCCATGCTGTGCCGTGCCACAGGAGCTCAGCATGGGTCAGGGACCCCTAGCTGCCGAGAGTTAAGTACAAGCGTGTTAACCCCTTCCCTCTGTCCTCTGCAGGGCGAGAAGGGAGACCGCGGTGAGGCAGTGAGTGTTTTGGTGACACCCCGCCACCAGCTGGTGGCTCTGGGGGGTTTGCATCTCCCAAACCATGGCAGCTCACAGGGGACGCTCACTACTGGCTTTGTCTCTGCAGGGACTGCAAGGACGTATGGGACCACCAGGTCTCCCTGGACAGCCGGTAATAACCTGATGGAAGGGGGCATAAGAGGGGCAGCTCCCTGGAGAGGGCAGTGTCATGGTCCCCATGTCCTCATGTTCCCTTGTCCCTTTGTCCTGCCAGTGGGTGGGTGTGGGACAAGGACATGCCCAGCTCTTGCTACAGGGGTAGACAGGCAACACCTCTTGACCACCACCTGCCACCCACCCTGTCCTCTCCACTGTGTCTCCAGGGTCGCCACGGGCTTCCTGGCCCCCCAGGACCACCTGGGCCACGGGGTCCACCAGGAGAGAGTGCTGAGAGTCCGGGCAAGAAGGGGGACAGGGTGAGTACCTCTGGCCCCTCACCTAGGCATCCCAGGATCCCGGTGACCTGGCTCCATGTGGCCTCTCACTGCTCCTTATCCCTTGGGTCTCCACACCTATGCTGGAGGGGAAATCCCACTGAAGAATCCAGCCTGCACCCTCACAGCCCAGCTCAGCACATGGGGGAAAGGCACCCTGGAACCCAGCTCTGCCTTGGGGCTGCCCTGAGCTCCCAGTGCTGGGACCAGCACTGCCTGGGGCACTGGAGGAGTCTGGCAGTGCTGGGGTACACCAGATGCTGGCATGATGCTCCTCTGTCCTGCAGGGATTTCCTGGAGCTGATGGGACACCAGGAAGCCCTGGACGCCCTGGGAATCCTGGTTCACCTGGGCAGCCAGTGAGTAAGGGTGTCCCTGGGCTTTACTGCTGCACAATGGCCTCTTCCCATTGCCTTGCCTGCTCCCTGGTCCAGCCTGTGCTTCCCTGCTCCCTGTGCTGTCTCAGCAGCTGGCAGGGTCACTGCTGTCTCCTGTGTGGGTATACCAGGCAAAGTCTATCCTTGCTTTGGCTGGAGATGCCATGACATCCCACCCCATTCCATCTCATCCCATCCTCACTCCACATGAACACGTGTTCACCTCCTGAACTGTTGCTTTCTAGGGCATCCAGGGCATCCCTGGTCCTCGAGGGGATCCTGTGAGTATGGCCCCAGCTCTCCCTGACCCTTCCCACACCCAACACCCCCTCTCATTCTCATCTTTCCTTCCCAGGGGACACGGGGGCCTGTGGGACTTACTGGCCCAAAGGGGGAGAAAGGTGAACCGGTAGGTGATGGACAGGGGGCTGCCCCACAGGGGTCCCTGGGGAGCACTGGGGACCCTGGTGGGCACATCTTGGCACCTGGCATTTCCTGGCTCCAGGGTCTCCCCATCTCCCTGCCAGACTCCTGGCACTGTGGCCACAACAGGGCACATGCGGTCACTGATTTTTCCTCCCCCTCCTCGTGCAGGGAGAGCCCAGGGTGATCATGGATGGAGAACAGGGGCTACCAGGCCGGAAAGGGGAGCCAGGTGTGCCGGTAGGTGTGGGAATACAGATGTGAAGGGGTCTCTGCCAGCACCCCCAGCCCACGCCACAGCCTCAACTGATGGAGCACCTCTGTCCTCTAGGGCAGCCCCGGCTCACCTGGGATCCCTGGCCCACGGGGGCCCCTTGGTGATCCAGGCCCCCCTGGTGCACTCGGACCTATGGGGCTACCGGGACCTCCTGGGGAGTTTGTGAAGGTACATCCCTCTGATGCTGCATGGGGATGGCTGGGGGATGTGTGGGCAGATGGATGGGGGAACAGACAGCTGCTTGGAGCTGCTCCCCCATGGACTCCTCCTGGCCCTGCTCATGGGCTGTGCCCTCCACCAGCTGTGCCTGCACACATATGCACGTGCCTGAGCTGCTGCTGGGCAGCGTGGGGAGAGGCACACGGGCATGCACATACCCTAATGCCACTGATGATGGGCTCTGCCCTATTCAAGAGGGGCATGGGAGCAGCCCAAACTGCCCTTATTTATTTTTTTACCCTTGCAGGGAGAAAAGGGTGACCGAGGGGAAAGGGTGAGTGGCCGTGCATTTCCCTGACTCCTCTGCCCTACTGGATGGAGGTCCCTTGAATGTCCAAGGGCACTGCAGCTCAGCCCTCAGGGTGCTGAGGAGGACTGAGCCCTCAGGGCAACCACACAGCAGCTGAGCCTTCTCTCTGCAGGGCCCCCCTGGATTCGTAGATGGGGCAGTACCTCGAGGGGATCCTGGACCCCCAGTGAGTTGAGCTCCTAGGCCAACAGGGTTGACAGAGGGGATCAGGGCTGTGGTGCCTATGTGTCCCCAGGGCTGAGCTGCATCCCCAGGAGCTGAGATTTTCTCTCTTGCAGGGCCTGCCTGGGGAACCTGGGCCTCGGGGCCCTGCTGGGCCCCCTGGCCTGAAGGGAGAGAAGGTAGGAAGGTGTCAGGGATGCTCCCCACTGGGGCTGGACCTCTCTCCAGTGAGGATTCCCATCTAATGGACATCTCCATGCCATGAGCATGGCTATTGCCTTTCCAAATCCCTAGGGTGATGGCATAGAAGGTTTCCCAGGGTCACCTGGCCGCCCCGGGGACCCAGGAGACAGGGTGAGTTTCCTGAGAGAAGGTAAGGCAGGCAGGAGCTGCCCATGCCAAGAGCCAAGCCCCAAGGGCACACCTGAAGGCTCCTGCTTTGGACAGCCTGGGCATTTGCCTTGTCACACCTTGTCACATCTCCATTCTCCTTCGCAGGGTCCTCGGGGACCACCGGGGGAACAGGGCAGGAAGGTGAGTGCTGCAGGGACTGGAGGGACACTCTTGCCATGCCTTTGGCAGGGAGAAAAGGGTTCTGGGTTCTGTGCCAGGGCCCAGGATGTCCCCCAAAGGTACTGCTGCCCCTGACCCTGTGTTTCTCCTATACCAGGGAGACCGTGGGGCACCGGGCGAGCTGGGAGAGACGGGTGAGAAGGTGAGATGGTGCCAAAGCAGATCAGCATTGACTGGTCCTGGTGTCCCTGAGACCTGGTGGTGGCTGTGCCTGGGGATTGCCATCACAACCCATCGTTCTTGGATGGATTCAGGGCTGAATCGTGAACAGCTGTGGAGCAGTGTGTGGGGTGGGGGCAGTGTGATGTAGAGGGAGGAAGGCTCCCTGAAACTCTCCTCTGCTTTGCTCTGCAGGGAGACCGTGGAGTGCCGGGCCCACAGGGTGAGAGGGTAGGTGTGCTGGGGCAACTGTGGCATGGTGGAGTGATGCCTGGAGCGGCCACCCTGGCTGGGGGTGGCAGGATTCCCACACGCCTTCCTCTTCCTCCTCTCCTGCAGGGTGAGACGGGAGCCCCAGGGCACCCAGGGCCATCAGGCAGAGAGGTGAGTCAGGGTAGCAGGTGTAGGAGCCAGGAGCTGCCACGCCCTGCCTGCATGTTCCTGGGCACTGCCAGCCCCCTGAGGTCTCTGATCTTGCCATAGGGAGCTCCAGGACCGGCTGGCCCCCGCGGGGAGAAGGTGAGGGCAAAGTGGGGTCCCAGTGGTGTGGCAGGAGTCTGTTGGGGAAGGGGCTGGCAGTGACACCTGTCTCTCTGCAGGGCGATCCAGGACCACCTGGCAAGCCAGTAAGTGATGCTGCCCAGCGGGTCCACCTCTGCCTGCCCTAGCCCCAGGACAGGGAGCCATGGGCACTGTCCAGCATGGTCCCCTCTGCTTCCCCTCCAGGCTCCCAGTGTGGCTGGTGTTGGAGAGAAGGTAACCCTGGCCCAGCTGTGCCCTCCACCCTCTGGGCATGGCTGTGGGCTGGGAAGGGGGATTGCAAAGTTGGGCTCATCCTGGTCCCAGGCCTGGTTGTCCACAGCTGCGGTGGGGAAAAAAATGGGTGGTTTGGGGTGCTGATTTTGTCTGCTCCAGGGTGACAGAGGTCTCCCAGGACCAGAAGGACCTCCTGGCCCCAAGGGTGACACAGGAGATAAAGGTGCCCGTGTGAGTACTGCCTTGAGGATAGGAAGCACAGGGCACATGGCACAGCCCTCCCCAGACTCATGGTGCCTGTGCTGTTGCTCCATGCTATGTCCTTTCATGTCTAGGGTCCCCCTGGCCTGAGCATCCCTGGACCAGCTGGCCCCAAAGGCGAGCAGGGCGATCGGGTGAGTCTGGGTGCACCCTGAGGGCACCAGCTCATGGGCCTGCTCCCTCCCCTGTCAAAGGGGTCACCAAAGTTCCCAGTGACATGTGCTCTTCCTCTCCAACAAACCAGGGTATCGTTGGCCTCACAGGCAGGAGTGGCCCAAAGGTAATGTCACTGCCCTTCCATTCATCTGTCCATCTGTCTGTTTGTCTGGCTGGCTGGCTCTAGAGGGGCTGTTCCTGCAGGCTGTGCCCCTTCTCTCCCCGGCTGCCCAGACTCTGCCCTGACTGTCACCCCTTCCCTTGCCTAGGGTGACCCAGGAGAGCCAGGGGAGAAGGGGGAGCCGGGCCGAGCAGGCACCCCTGGGCAGACCGGGATGCGAGGCAAGGAGGTAGTGTGGGACAAGGGGCTATGGGGCACTGTGGCCCTGAGGAGAGGGGGGGCAGGCAGGGAGCAGGGGGATGCTGGTGACTTGTACTTTTCTCTCCTGGCCGGTGCCCACTGATTTGTGCCGCAGGGAGAGAGAGGAGAGAAAGGTGATGAAGGCACCCCGGTAAGTGAGGGCCCCCAGGACCCCTGCCCCTCTCCCCACTGCCCCTGTTCCTACTCCCCCCACTCACCCCCTCTTTCCCCACAGGGTGAAGCGGGTCTGCCTGGCAAACCTGGAGACAGAGGTCCCCGGGTAAGTGCAGGGCTGCTGGGCACCCTGGGGCAGAAGAAAGACACATGGCCTCGAGGTGGCTCCTGCTAATGCACATCTTCCCTTTGTCCTCCACCCAGGGCCTTCCTGGCTACCGTGGCCCCCCCGGGGAGAAAGGTGACTTGGGGGACCCAGGACCTGAGGGCAGGAATGTGAGTACCCCCTTGTATGTACCCACTGCTCCATGGACACCCACCACCCCTCACACCTCATTGCCCCACACCCACCCTTACCCCAGGGTACCCCCATCCCACAGGACCCACACCCCACGGGTCCCCCATTCCCTCCCCCTCTGACTCCTTCCCTCTTTCCTGCAGGGCAGCCCTGGAGCACCAGGGAGCAAGGGTGACCGTGGGGACCCGGTAAGTGATGGCAGGGCCACGTGTGGCCCCCCACCCCAGAGCCAGCTGTGCCCTCCCCGGGGCTGCGTCAGCTCCCCTTAATCTGCTTCCCTTGCCCTTCTTTCAGGGGCCTCCTGGACCCCCAGGACGAGCTGTAAGTTCTGCCTCTCTCTTCTCCCTGCCCATGGGCTGGTGTCCAGCCCCGTGTGCTCCAACAGCTCCTCTCTGTCCCACAGGTCGATGTTGGGCTTGGAGGAGTGGGAGAAAAGGGTGAGAAGGTAATGAATGAGTCCTTGGGATGGTGGTGGTGGGATACCCTCTGCTGTCCCCTGGGCTCTGCCTGGCCACTGGGATCACTGTTCATCAAGCCCTCCCTGCCCAAAACAGCCTCTGCCACGTGCAGCTGATGATGTGCACCATGACTGACAGGCACATGGAACCTGGGGGCACGTGGGCTGACACGTGCCCCATGATGGGAGGAGGCCCTGTAGGGCTGAGGTTTCCAAAGGAACTGGTGTGCTCCTGGCTCCCCAGCCCCACAGAGGTCCCATGGCAGCACCCAACACTGCGGGTGTTCTGCTTTTACAACCCAGCTTAGGCTCAGGACAGTTTTGGCCACAGGTTGTGCTCTGTGCTGGGTGGCATTGTGGTCCCCAACTGTGGTCAAGCTGGCTCCTGGTTCAGCAGTGCTGCTTGGTGCCTTTCTTCTGCAATTACACTCTGGCCCCCATTCCCCCAAGTGGGAGCTGCAGTGAGCCCAGCCACCTCTTTATCAGCCTGTGCCTCTTTCTTTGAGACTTTCCTCTCATCCCACCCCTAAACCACACAGCACCAGCACTGTGTACTCTGGTGCAGGCTTGGTACAGCACAGTACCCTCTGACCACTGTGCCCTTCCCTGGCAGGGGGACCCTGGGGACCCGGGCAAGAATGGCGTGAAGGGTGCCCAGGGTGATGCTGGCTCCCCTGGAGTGCCTGGAGAGAGGGTAGGTGTTGGCTTCCTGGTGTGGGGGGCACTGGGACAGCATGATGGGTGATGTTCTGCAGGGGGACCGGGGTCTTGGTGTGCAGGGACTGCCTGCTGAGCACCCAGGATCCTCTCCTTTCCCCCCATGCCCCACTGCTGAGGATGTCTCTCTCTTGCAGGGTGTGGAGGGCCCCCGTGGCCCCCCTGGCACGCGGGTAAGTGTCCCCTTTCCCACGGGGGTCTGAATGGGGGACCTGTGCCCTGTGCAGCTCCTGTTAATGGGACAAGATGCTCACTTCTCCTCTGGCCCCATAGGGTGACCCTGGGGACCGAGGCCTGCCAGGAGAGAAGGTAAGGGGATTGGGGGCTGAGGGTTGCCCCACAGAACTCCCATCCCACCCCAAAGCTCCAACTGTCCCGCCCTACTCTCTTACAGGGGGACCGTGGCCCCCCAGGGCTGGATGGCCGAAATGGGCTAGAAGGCAAACCTGGGCCCCCAGGGCCTGCTGGACTGAGGGTGAGTGTGGTCCAGGGTGGGGGGAATGTCTGTGCTGAGTGCCACGGGTGGGATCTGGGGGACAGAGGGATGATGGGGGGGGAGGAGCTGTCCCCCTGGACACTCTCTGCTCCAGGCTGGGGACGCTCTGGAGGGGGGGCCTTTGGCAGGATGGGAATGTCCCTGTCCTCACCTCCTCCTTGCCTGCAGGGGGACCCGGGAAAGCAGGGAGATCCTGGACGGGATGTAAGTACCTCTGGAGAGGGCAGGTTTAGGTTGTGTTCCTGCTGGGGCCATCAGACTTGCAAACGACCAGTGTCCTGTCCCATGCTTCTTGGCCCAGGGCAGTGCAGCAAGACCCTCCCCTGTCCCCAGCAGAGTGCCACTGCCAGTCACACTGCCTGCTCTCAGGGCTGGCTGTGGCAGATGGGTGCCCTGCTGCCTTGTGCTCCCACCATCTCCTTTCCCTTCAGGGGCTGCCTGGGCTGCGTGGGGAGCAGGGACCACCTGGCCCTGTGGGTCCCCTTGGACCACCTGGCGTGCCTGTAAGTACCAGCCACCCTGCACCCTAGGGACACATCCTGTCCCCTGCCCTCTGTGGATCCCAGCTGGATCACTCCTGTGCCCAGCTCCCCCTTCCATGCAGCTTGAGGCTCCAGTGGGGCCCAGGCACCCCTGGCTGCTGGTGCCCTGGCTGGTGGAGAGCCTGGTGAGTTCCCTCACTGCCTTTTTTTTCCTCCCAGGGCAAACCCGGTGAGGATGGCAAACCTGGCCTGAATGGCAAGAATGTGAGTAAGGGAAACAGGGCTTGACTTTGGGGCTCTCCCAGGATGCTGAGGGATAGTGATCCCAATACAACATAAGGCAAGGGGAGGATGTGGCAAAGAACCCCCATGGCTCTGAGCCATCCTCTGGTTTGTACCCATGTTGAGATGGTTGAGTGGGGTGCTGACAGGCAGCCTTTGTTCCCAGGGAGAAGATGGTACACCAGGAGAGGATGGGAGAAAGGTAAGGAGATGATCCATGGGTGGTTCCTGTGTGGTCCCTGCACGGTCCCCATGTGATCCCCCCAAGCCTGGTGGCTCCACCCTGCCCGGACCAGGAGCACCATTTCACGGTGTGCGGATGGGGCAGCATCCCTCCAACTGCTTTCTCTCCTGGTTAGGGAGACAAAGGTGATACAGGACTACCTGGGAGAGAGGTGAGTACTCCCCAAAGAGGAGTGTGTGATGGAGAGTGCTGGGTACATGCCCCCATCAGGGACAGACCTGGGTCCCACATTCTGGGGGTCATACTGCTCTCTCGGCAGGGCCGCAGCGGTGCCAAGGGCGAGCAGGGGGACAGAGGTGTGCCAGGCCCCCTCGGCCCCCCTGGCCTTCCTGGTGTCCCAGGGCAGGTTGGCCCCCCAGGCCAGGTGTGTAGTTCTCGACCCCATGGTGCCACTCAGCACCAGACCCTGGAGTCTGGACTGCTCTGAGGCAGGCAGGACCCCCATCCACGGCTCCATCAGGACACTGCTCTGTGTCCATGGGGACAGGGTGCTATTGTGTCACCTCCATGTCTTCTAGGGCTCCCCAGGCCTCCGTGGGGTGGCTGGACCAAAGGTAAGTGTGCTCCTGACCCCCAGTCCCCCAAGGCAAAGGTCTGGGGGGACCACATACCAGAGGTAATAAGTCCCTGGCAGGAGTCCCCACCCCCAAGATGACAAGGCTGGACCCTAGTGCTGCAGTTGGTGCTGAGCAGCCTGACTGCTCCCCTTGATCCCTTTGCTGTGTTTCAGGGGGACCCAGGGGAGCCTGGACTGCGAGGGGAGCCGGTGAGTACCCAGCACTGAGCCTGACAAGCTGCGAGCACCTCAGTCACAACCACAGCCCCTGCCCAGGCAGCAGCAAAGTGTTAACTCTGAAACCTACTAAGATTGCTGCACCTCTGTACATCTTCATTCCCTCTTTTCCTGTAAACCCAGGGGCGACCTGGCAACCCTGGAGCACGTGGAGACCCTGGGACTACAGTGGTGAGTCCCTACCCTGAACTGTCCCTGCTGTGCTGGGATGGCAGCATCAGCCCTGGGGTTCAGAGAACTGTCCACAGCCTCTATGGTGGGAGCCGACTTGGGTTTTAATGTCTCTTTATTGCAGAACATTGAACGTAGCCTGGAGGCGCTTGGCATCAAGGTATGTATTTCCTGACGGTCAGGCTGGGGCTTTTTCTTGCCACATGGCAGCAGGAAGAGGGCATGGGAGGTGGTGGGAGATCCGAGCAATTTAGGACGTCTTAGCAGGACTGTGGGGTGCTGCTGCAGCTGGGTTCCACTTACGCCCTGACCGGTGGCTCTCTCCTCCCTCCCAGGTTTCATCCCTGAAGGAACTCACGGGTGCCTATGATGGGAGCTCAGACTCATTTCTGCCGGTGTCCGAGCGGCTGCGGGGCCAGAAGGGCAGTCGGGGGGATCCAGGAGAAAGGGGGCCCCCAGGCCGAGAGGTGAGTGGAGTCAGGCTCGATGCCAAGCCCCAACACCCTGCCCCACTCCTGCTTTCTGCGCTGGCTGGGGGTTCATGCAGCCGGCTCAGCCCTGGGGTGCTCAGGGTGGGCTCACAGCCTCACCTCAGAGCTGGATCTGGCAGCACAGCTTATGTTTTGCAGGGCTCCTTAGGCTTCCCTGGCGAGCGAGGACCCAAAGGTGACAAGGGGGACCCAGGTACCCCCGGCCCCCAGGGCCCCATGGGCCGGGCCGTGGGTGAGCGGGGTCCCGAGGGCCCGCCTGGGCAGCCAGGGGAGCCTGGCAAGCCAGGCATTCCTGGGGTGCCGGGCCGGGCTGGGGAGCTGGGGGAATCCGGGAGGTCCGGCGAGAAGGTGAGTGTGTGTGGAGGTGCGAGGTGAAGTCTGGGGGACCTGGTCTAGGGGCTCGGGGACAGCCCTGTGACAGCCACCGTGGTGTTTTCACAGGGTGACCGAGGTGAGAAGGGTGACCGAGGTGAGCAGGTGAGCTGGGATAGGGACATGGTGTCCTCCATCCCCTCTTGTGTTGTGCCCCTCTTGAGGGGTGCAGAGCTCTCTGTGGGGCAGGCAGATGCCCTGTGGAGGCCAGGAGTGGCCATACCAGGAAGGCTCTGCTCTCCCATGCCCTTTGACACTCAGCCTATTTCTCTACCCTTCTCAGGGAAGGGATGGCTTGCCTGGACCCCCAGGGCCCCCAGGGCCCAAGGTAGGTGATGGCTGCTGCTGGAGACCATCATCAAGATGCCAGCCTGCCCCTCTGGGGATGGATGGCCACATCCAGTCCCTTGGAGAGGGCTTTGCCCCTGATGGGGCCTTCCTGAGGTCCCCTGGGTGCTGGCCCTGACTGTGCCCTGCCCACAGGTGGACGTGGTGGAGGGCAGCTTGATGGGCCTCCCAGGCGAACGTGGCCCCACCGGACCCAAAGGAGCCAAGGTGTGTGTCTGGTCTGAGACGAGAAGGGCAGCTGAGACAACCGAGCTGGGGCGACATCACGAGCTGGGGCTGAGGATGGTGGTGGGGCAGAGGGGCAGCAAGGGCTGATGGCATCTGTCTTCTTCCCAACACAGGGTGAGCCAGGAGCTGAGGGTGAGCGGGGACCCAAAGGAGATAAGGTCTGAGTTTATAAGTCTCCAGAGTCAAAAGGGAGCAAAGCCCTGGGTGAGGGCACTGCTGGACACCCCTCTTTGGGTGTCAGCAGGCTCTGGGAGGTCATGGGAAGGTCTCTGCCTGTCCTGTGACCCTGTGCCTGTCCCCACTGCAGGGTGAAGGTGGCTTGAGGGGTGACCGAGGGGAGCCTGGTGAGAAGGGCAGGGACGGCGCCCCGGTGAGTGCCGCACTGTTCCCCTGCCTGGCACTGACCCGGACCCTGCCTGGCACTGACCCCATTCCTTCTCCATCCTTTGCTCCAGGGTCTCCCGGGTGAGAGAGGGCTGGCAGGCCCTGAGGGGAAGCCGGTGAGTGGGGACAAGGTGGAAAGATGCAGGCTGGGATTGGGGGATGTCCTGTGGTCTCACACCAGCCACCACTGGCACCAGCAGGAGCGTTTGTGCCTCATTCACCTCCTTCTCCCCAAATCTCATGCAGGGCCTGCAGAGCTTTAGGGGCCCTTTCCTTATTCCTACCACTTAGGAGGCTAAGTGCCCTGGCTGGCTACCACACAGTGGGAATGGGGAACATCCCTGGGGGCAGGCAGGGCTGTGTGGAGCTGGTGGGTTTCTGTTTGTCCACTGACTCTGATGTGGTTCTTTGCAGGGCTTGCCAGGCTTTCCTGGCGTGCTGGGACGCCCGGTAGGTGTCTGTATGTCCCCCATGTCCCTGTGCCCCACCACCTCAGCACACAGCGGGGGGCTCCTGGCTGTGAATGCTTGGTGAAACCACGGGGGTCACCCTGCTGCCAGGCTGGGTCCTTGGCCCCCTGCATCTTAGCAGGACCTGTCCTGGCTTGTCTTGGTGCTTACAAGAGCTGCTGGCACTGTCTGGGTCTGCTCTCCCTGGGGACACCCCCTGTTCCCACTGGGGAAAAACCACTTCTGCAGTGATCCCATTTCTTCCTCCCTTCAGGGCAATCAGGGAGACCCAGGACCCCCAGGACCTCCGGTAAGGAGCCACCTTGCACCACGTGCAGGGGACTGTCATGCAAGGGCAATGTCAACCAGGGTGGGCATTCCCCCAGGGAGTGGAGGTGGGGTGGCTGTGCTGGGACTGAATGGTCCTGCTGCCCCTTCCCTGTCCTGTGCCACCAGTAAGTACCACCACAATAATGTCCCCTTGTCCCCTGCAGGGCAGCATTGGCGCACCAGGGACCCAGGGCCCAGCTGGTGCCAAGGTAAGGCAGTGGCATTGGCATCTGCATCAGCATTGCCATGTCCAGCCTGGCAGAGGGCAAATGGTGCCTTGACATTGGGGACTGGAGGGAGGACCACGTTTCAGGAAGTTTTGGGCTGGAGGGAGGGACATTTGGGCTGGATCCAGGTATGAAGATATACCTGTGACCAAAGTAGCTGGTTGGTTGGGGTGGTTGGGCTGATGCAGCATGTTCTTCACAGGGTGATCCGGGAGAGCCTGGCTCCAGCATCCGTGTGAGTACTCATACCCTCCCTGCCAGTATCCACCTGGCTGCCCAAAACCATCCAGCCTCCCCAAAATCAGCCAGTCTCACTCCAACCTTCCCACCTTCCCACAGGGGCAGCCAAGGTCCTGGCTGTGCCATCCCCTCTGATGTGGCTGTTTCCATTGCAGGGCTTGCCTGGACCCCAGGGCAACATGGGCCTGCCAGGACCACTTGGCCCCCCTGGCCCAGGGGTAGGTATTTGAACACCCCAGACCTGTCCCTTGGCTGTTCCTGGTGTCTGGCTGATTTCTGTTCGTGTCTCCATTGCAGGGCCCACCCGGTGTCCCTGGGCTGCCAGGACAAGTGGTGAGTGTGTTGCCCCCCACATCTGCCTGCCATCCTCTGGCTGTGTGGGTGCTCGGGGCTGCCTGGGGGGCTGTAGGACCCCCACACCCCACCCTAACTCTTGCTGCCTGCAGGGGGAGAGCGGGAAGCCAGGCGTGCCGGGCAGGGATGGTGTGCCCGGGAAGGATGGTGAGGCAGGAGTGCCTGGGAAGATGGTATGTTGATGCTTACCCTGCCCCATCCCAGCGACACCCCCACTCAGCTCAGCCTGGCTTGTCTGCAGCTGAGGCTGAGGGCTGTGCCGCTTCTGCCAGGGCTTACCGGGACCTGTGGGGCCTGCTGGTCCCAAGGGAGAGCCAGGGGATGCTGGAGCCCCAGGGCAGGTGAGTGCAGAGCTGCCTTGTCCAGTGTTCCTGGCCAGGAGGAGGGGGAGCATCCCCGTGCAGCCCTGTTCACCTGCCCACTGTGTCCTCTGCCCCAGGCCATCGCTGGCCCCCCTGGAGCCAAGGGAGAGAAGGTAAGGAGCTAGGGTGTGAGGGCTGGGTGTCTGCTGGGCACTGGCATCCACAGTGGGCACATCTGAGCACCCCTGTGTCCCCTGCAGGGTGAGCCGGCGCTGCTGGAGGGTGTGCTGCTGGGAGAGCCCGTGAGTCACCCCCATAAACCCAAACTCCCGTTACCCTCATCTCCCCTCATTAGCGTTTCCCTACCATTAACCTCATCCTCTCCCACCACTCTTGACTTCTGAGAGGCAAGCCAGCCCTGTGGCTGCCCTCTCCCCTAACACTGTTGTCCCTGGCAGGGCTCCAAGGGTGACCGAGGCTTGCCAGGCCCCAAGGGTGAGAAGGTGAGCGCTGCCCTAGGAGTCAGTGGGGAGGAGGTTGTGTGGTCCCCTTGCTGCTTGGCCACAGTGTGGGGATCCAGCTGCAGCTGCTCCCCCAGTTCATAATCCCACACATCTGCTTTTTTCTTTTTTTTCCCTGCCAGGGTGAGCCAGGAAAGCTTGGAGAGCCAGGAGATCCTGGGGAAGATGTGAGTAGGAGGCATATGGGGGTGGTGGGTGGTTACTGGGGACAGCGGATGCTGCAGGGGCTGGTATCTGTGCCCCTGCCACCTACTGCCCACATCTTCCTGGGGGCTTGGTGTCTTCACAGGGAGCCAAGGGATCCTCTGGAGCCAAAGGGGAGAAGGTACATGTCCCCTGTCCCCAGGGGGTCCCCCCACCCTGGGGGATGCTCTGGGTGGCATGGTGGCCCTGGCACCCCTGGCCCCCAGCCAGGTGATGTGACACACTCTTTCTGCCACCTTGCAGGGATCACTGGGTGTTGGTGCACGGGGTCCACCAGGACAGGATGGGCCTCCAGGTTTGAAGGTAACCCCTGTCCCCATGTCACCCTGGCTCTGATCATGTCCCTAATGCCCCGGTGATATTCTAGCTTGGCTGGCTGAGGGAAAAGCACACTCCTGAGGGGCTGTTTTTATGAGCCTCATCTTTTACTTCCCTACTTCAGGGTGACACCGGTTTGCCAGGATTACCGGGCCCCCCAGGCCCAGCAGGCATTGCTGGGATGCCAGGACAGCCAGGCCTGAGAGGGGACAATGGGCAGCCTGGTCCTCCAGGTCCCCCAGGAGAGAGGGTAAAGACTACAACCAGAACGTTGTCCACCATCACTGGTCCTGGTGACCCTGGACCCTTGTGCAGTGTCAGTGAGATCCCTGCAAGCCCCACTGCTTCCCAGCCACAGCCCCTGCCCTTTCCCTGCTTTTTCCCTGCCAGGGTTTGATCGGCTTTCCAGGCAGGGATGGCATCGCTGGACCACCGGGACCTGTGGGGCCCCCAGGGCCGGCTGTGAGTATGGTGCCACAGCATTCCCGGGGCTGTAGGCTCTGCCCTGGCTTCCCTGCTGCCTCAGACAGGCTGACAGGGACACAGCCAGCACCCCCCTGGGCCCTGGGGCAGGGTGTTGCTGGACTGTCCAGTACCACAGTGGGACTCTCAGCCATGCTTTGCAGGGTGTCTGGCATTGCTTTCGTCCTGTGGCTTGCTCACCCTTCTCCTTTCTTTTAGGGCATACAAGGCCCCCCTGGCCTGAAAGGTGACAAGGTAGGACCAGGGGCAGCCCTATAGCATGAGAGGTGGGAGGCTGCTTCTCTTGTGGAGTGTCCCTGCAGCCACCTCACCCCTAAGGGTGCTGAACCCACTCTGGGTGGTGGCACATGGGAGCCTCCTGTGTGCCAGGCACCCAGAGAGGTGGTGGGGACTGTGGGGTGTCCCCTGGCATGGGGGGTACCTGGCAGGACTGGGAAGAGCTGTGGGCAGCTCCTGGGCAGGATGGGGATGAGTTCTTGCCTTCCTCTGGCAGGGCGCTCTGGGGGCCGGGCTGCCAGGAGCTAGAGGTGAACGTGGTGACCCGGGACCACGGGTAGGTACTGCCACAATCCCCACCATGTCCCCACAGCCAGGGACAGGAATGCTCACGGTGCCAGCTTCCCTGACAGGTCTCTGAGCCAGAGCTGCAGCTGTCCTTGGGGTGGGGTGATGCTGGGGTGCCCCCAAACTAAACCCCCTTCTCACATCCCTTCCTTCTTGCAGGGTGAAGATGGGCGCCCAGGGCCAGAAGGGGATCGTGGGCCAGCAGTAAGTACCCCCCTTCCTCAGCTGCACCCTGATCCGGGCCCCTTCCTGACCACACCTCTCTTCTCCCCCACAGGGCTTGCCTGGGAACCGTGGGGAGCCTGGGGACAAGGTAAGGGGCTCTGCGGGCTGAGGAGCTGGGGGGAGAATGATTCACCTCCAGGTACTAGGGAGCCCAGGGAGGTGCTGCCTGCTCCCTGCTCTGCATCTTTGCAGCATCTCACCTTCTTCACAGGGAGCCCTTGGGGCCCCAGGACCCAAAGGAGACAAGGTGAGTCCTTGGGACGGGGGGCAATGAGAAGAGAGGCAGCAGCCCTGGCTCCCCTCCTCACCCCCATCTCTGCTTTGGATGTACAGGGCGATACTGTGGTGGTGGAGGGGCCGCCTGGAGCACGGGGCAGCAAGGGAGAGCCGGTAAGAGCTGTCCTTATCCTCCCTCTCCCCATCCTTCCTGTCCTTCTGGGAAGAGCTGGAACAGCTTTTTCCTGCTGAGAGACCCTCCCTTGCACAGCATATTGTCCCCTCTCCTTCAGCCACCCTACAGACCCCCATGTTCCTGCCCCCACAGGAGTCTGTCCTCCCATCCTGATGTGTGTCTGAGCATCCTCTCATTCTCTGACCCCTCCCTGTGTTTTCTTTACAGGGAGAGCGTGGCCTGAAGGGCATAGAAGGAGACAAGGGGGACAAGGGGGAGCAAGGCATGCTTGGAGAGAAGGTACAGGGCTGGGAGGAACTTGTGCAGGGCTGGGAGCTGCTGGGTTGGGATCGTGGACGGCTGTTGACAGGGAAATGGACAGAGAAAGCAGGGCATGACAGCATCCCAGTGCCCTATGTGCTGGTGCTGGTTGGCACCAGGGACCATGGTGCAAGGGGAGCTGCCAGACCTGGCCTCAGAGGTGACCATGGCTGTGCTGTGGCCATGCAGTGGCTGGAGCTCTACCTCCAGCTGCAGCTGTGCTGATCTGTGTTTCTGCTTGCAGGGCACGAGGGGTGAACAAGGAGAGAAGGGCTCCATGGGCTTCCCTGGGGCACGTGGCCCTAGTGGGCAGAAGGTAGGAAGCTGGGCAGCTCCTCTGCTGGGGGATGCTGGTGGCACCATCCCCCTCACCTGCCCTGACTGATGCCTTTGCCTTTCCCAGGGAGAGGTTGGAGCACCTGGAGAGCCTGGTGAGCCGGTGAGGAGCTGTGTCTTTGTGCCTCTGCCACCCCACTGCAGGACAGGAGCGGCCCCTCGTCACGCTGTGTGCTCTCTCACAGGGTCAGCCTGGCCGCGATGGGATCCCCGGGGCCCGGGGAGAGAAGGGGGACATGGGACCCCTGGGCATGCGTGGCCTCAAGGTGGGTTGGCTTCTCTGGCTGCCAGGGCTCTCCTGGCCAGGACTAGTGCTGGCTCGGCATGGCTCTGACTTCCCATTCTTGCAGGGTGACCGGGGCATGAAAGGTGCCTGTGGCCTCAATGGGGACAAGGGTGAGAAGGTGAGTGGGTGCCTGTAGGGTGCTGCAGGAGCCTGGATGTTCCCTGGAGGTTGTGGCTCTTTGGATCCCCTCCATCAGCAGGAGCGGGGAGATGGCCCTGAGTCTGAGGCCAGACCTTGACCCCGTGACAGGGTCATGGGGTCCCCTCCTCTGCTTGTGGCTCTGGGGTGAGCGTTGAGGGGTGAAGGACTGACTGCCCTGCCTCTCTCCTGCCTGCTGTAGGGAGAGCCAGGGATCCCGGGGCGCTCAGGACTGTCAGGGAGGAAAGGCGAGCCGGTAAGCACCACACTGCCACCAGGGTGGGACAGGAACGCATGGCTGGTGGCTGATGGACATCTGCTCTGTCTCCCAGGGAGAACTGGGTCTGTCAGGACCACCAGGCATTCCTGGAAAGGAAGGGCTTATGGGACCCAAGGTAGGTTAAAGCAGTGCAGGGAAAAGCTGTGCTGGCACTTCATCCCTTTGTTGCCTGCCCCCCACTGTCTGTCCCCTGCTGCCTGTCCCTTCCTCTTTGCAGGGTGACCGGGGATTTGACGGGCAGCAGGGAGCCAAAGGAGACCAGGGGGAGAAAGGAGATCGGGTGAGCAGGCTGGAAAAGGATGGGATGCATTGCATCACGTTGCTTGTACCAGGATACAGCCTTGGTTGGAAGCATATCAGAGCCTGATGCTCCCAGAAGACTCATTCAGTGCTACTCTAAATTATGTCTCTAAACAATGAATGACAATTCCCCGCTCTTTTTAAGAAGGCACCAGGGCTGGTTCTTCGGGGATGCCCAGCTGTGGGGTCAGAGGATGTCCATGGCATCTGTTTTGAAGCCAGGGGCTCTGACACCCCTGACCTCAGCCTCTGTTCTCCTCCAGGGTGCCCCAGGTGTTATGGGTGGCCCTGGTCCCCGGGGCAGTGACGGTGCTCCTGGCCCCCCTGGGCCCTCAGGGAATGTTGGCCCACGAGGTCCTGAGGGCATGCAGGGCCAGAAGGTAAGTCCTCACCACAGCTACCTGGTCCTCCTCTGGGGCTGTGAGCATGGGAAGGCCCAGTCCCCTTAGTGGGTGAGGGGTGGGTGGCATCTGGAGTCATGTCCCAGCTCTGTCCTGCCCTGCCAGCTCGCTGGCTTTGGGTTCCTCCCTTGTGTCCCCCTGCCCAGGGGATGGAGTCTGAGGGGAGGTGCTGGAACCCTGCTTGTCCTTGAGTTGAACTGGTCCCATCCCCATCCCCACCTGCACTGACATCCCTGGGGTGCAGGCGTGGGGAAAGCAGCACATCCATGGTGCTAGGGAGAGCAGAGACTCCAGCACCCACCAGCCAGATCCTGAGCACATGCCCTTTGCAGGGGGAGAGAGGCCCCCCTGGACAGTCAGTGCCGGGTGCACGTGGCATGCCTGGCATCCCTGGCGAGCGAGGAGAGCAGGTAAGTGTGCAGGTGCCCGGCCCTGCCTGGATGAGCTCCAGCCAGGGCCAGCTTCCCACCTCCTTTCTGCTGTCCCCAGGGCAGTCCTGGTGCCCATGGGCTCCGTGGGGAGAAGGGGGAGCCAGGCATGACGGTAAGGAGCCAGAAGGGAGCCAGCATAGGCTTGTGGCACTCAGGTCACTGGGGTGGGAAGGGGTGCTGGATCCATCCCACTTCCACTGATGTACGGGCTGCCCTCACCTCTGGGCTCTGCTAGACTCTGGGAAAGGGTTTTTCCTCTTTAAATACACTATGCCCCATTACTACCTTTGCCCCTTCATGTGCCCGGCAGGAGGAGGAGATCCGTGGCTTTGTCAGGCAGGAGATGAGCCAGCACTGTGGTGAGCATCCCTGCTGCTGCCCTGGAGCTGGGGGTCTGGACCCGCTGGCCCTGACCCCCACCCTGTCTCTCCCACAGCCTGTGGTGGCCACTTTCCACGGCACCAGGATTCACGTGAGCACTCAGGTTGCAGCTCTTCCTTCCTATCCCCCTGCCCCACACGAGTGCCACCAAAGGGGCCCTGGCACCCAGGTGTGCCACTGGTTTTGGGGAGCTGGAGGTGGCATGACCCTCCATGACCCCTTCAGTCAGGGTCAGCATCAGTGTAGGACCCTGCACAGGGAGAAGGGATGGTGTGTGGCAGAAGTGATGGTACAGAAGGGATCCTCAGGGGCAGCTGGCTTGGGATGGTGCCAATGGGGTCTGGGTGCTGCCAGGGTCTGCCCAACTGAAGGGATCACAGGAACTGCACCCCATCTATTCTTGGGTGTCAGAATGGGGGCAGGGGTCTTGCAGGGGTCAACAGTGCTGGAGGGAAGGGTAGGCTGGAGGAGTGGGATTGGAGGGACAGAGACAAGAGGTGGGCTGGGATGAGGTGGGTGCTTTCTTTCCAAGGAGGCTGGGGGGCTCAGGCCAGGAGCAGCCTCCACTCTGCCCAGGGAGTAGGAAGAATTGTCCGCCAGGAGAAAGAGCATGACCAAACAGGTGATGGAGAGTCTGGAAGACCCAAGACATCTGGCAATGTGGGCATGTGTGCCTCCCTGTGCCCTCCCCTGTCCCTACCCTGTTGGGCTCCAAGTGGGTGCTGTCTCTCTGGGTCTCCCCTGCCTGTCCCTCCTCTACAAGCCCCCATGGCAGCCCTGGTCTGTGGTGAAAAGAGAGGAGGGGGTATCTCCAGGCCACCATCCCTGTCCACGTACCCTGTCAAGCTGCAACAGGGTTGGAGAAGTGCTGGACTGCTCCACACCTGAAAGGGGTGGTTTTCCCTTGCGAAATAAGGGGAAAGCACCCCAGACTCCTTTGCCTCTTCCCTGATGCCTGTGTGCCCTTGACAGGGTCCTTCTCCAGTCAGCCGTTCCCTGCTGGCAGCGCTCACATAGTCCCTGTGCTCAAGTTGTCACACACTGAGGAGGATGAGGGTGTGTCATCACTGTACTTTTAGTCCTCGTCCCCCTTTTTCTGTGCTCCGTGTGTGTAGTGAGGACTGCTCATGTGTGGTGCTGTCTCCCAGGGCAGGACAGGCAGATCATGCTCGACAATGACGACCTCGGGTATGACAGCATGGATGGAGAGGAGGAAGAGGAGGACTATGATGAGGTCCTGGAGATGGACAGCTTGGAGCAGCCTGCAGTGGATGGTGAGCTTCCCTGCACTCACCTGACACTGACAGCTAAGCTACTGGGGGAAACTATGGAGCTGCCCCAGGTTTTGCTGGGGTGGTGTCCTCACATCCAGCTGGGCAGTGGGTTCCTGTGCCATCTGTCTGTGGGGATTTGGGATTTCCTGCCCTCTCGCTGGTACTTGGGAGGGTTGCACCTTCTCTATCACTGTGCTGCCCACACCATACAGACCTTGTGCTCTATCCCCCTCACCAAAGCTGTCACCAGCAGTCATGGGTGGTGTGCTGGGCTGGTGGGACCTGCTGCCCTGGCATGTTTCCAGTGCTCTGGTCATGAGCCACAGGATGGATTCCAAAGGCCCCAGGAGATCAAGGAAGCCACAGTGGCAGCAGCCTTTGGAGACTCACCCTATAACCCTTCCAAGGGGTGCTGCGGCCATCATGTCCCCATGCCACCCACCTCCCAGCTCTTTCCTAGGAGCTGTCCTGAGAGACAGCTTGCCCAGAGCGGTGTCTCCTGCCATTAATTCCAGCACTTGGGAAGAGCACAGGGACATCTCCTCCAGCCAAACCCTTCCCATACTCAGCCTTTCCCTTCTGGATTTTCACCTCCTCTGCCAAGTGGGTCTGGCAGCCTCCAGGTGTGCTGCCAGCCCCTGCCTGCCCTCACCAGCAGCGTTTGCCCCACAGCTGAGCCCTGCAGACTGCCGCTGGACGAGGGGGACTGCCAGCGCTACACCCTGCGGTGGTACTACAACCAAAGAGTCACCGAGTGCCGGCCCTTTGTCTACAGCGGCTGCCAGGGCAACCTCAACCGCTTCGACAGCAAGGAGGAGTGTGAGCTGCACTGTGGGCAGCGCCCAGGGACAGGTAGGCAGAGCTTGGCACAGCTACCGGCACCAGCAGCATCTCCACCTCGTGCCGTGGGCTCAGTGATGCGGAGCTGGGGGGACAGCACTGCTCCCCCACCTCCGCTCTGACAGCGCCTTGCTTCTTTCCACAGATTCCCACGGCAGTGCCGGCGGCAAGGTGGCAGGGCAGCCAAAGGTGTAGGTGCAGACAGTGTCTCGGCAGGCAGGGCTGCCTGGAAGTGGGGCCCTGCTGCCACCCTGGCCGGGGCTGGGCTGCCCACAGTGGGAGCAGCCATGTACCCACCAGCCCCAGCAGGAACCTGGTGCTATTTCTAACCTGTCTTTATGCTGCTCATGGGTTTTCCATTTCATATCAGTTTATTATCATTAAGGTGAAAGTTATATCAAATGGGAAACTGCCTCCCACCAAGGCTCTGAACCCCCTTTCCTACTGGGCTGTTCTCAGTTTGATTTTTAAATTATTTGTTGCCAAAAGAATGTTTCTTAGCTCTGTTCCCTCCCTCTGGAAGAAGAGCTGAGATTTGGCACAGTTGGGCTCCCTCCCCTCCCATAATGCCCTCATACCCTTTCCTGCCCTCACAGACCCCCAAACTCCCTCTCTGCTCCCCGCTGTCTGCTGGGAGAGCTGCCCACATCCTTGTGCCAGGCACTGCCTCCCTGTACATCCCTCACCCCCACCCTGCAATGAGCTCCATCTGAATAAATTTCACCTTAACCTCAACTAGGGCCCAGTTCCCCTTTTGTGGCTGCAATGGTTTGGCAATGACCTGTGGGGAGACTGGAGGCTCTTCCCATGTGCTACCCTGCAGCTCACACACCTGCCAGCAGCACATCTGCCTTTAATCTGGGGGAATCTCACCTGCACCCCCAGGCCTGTCAGGGAAACCCTGAGGAGGGTGCTATGTTAGAAGAGGTTCCTGCTCGCCCATGCTTACTCTCAAAGGCTTTGTGAAAGTGATGTCGGCTGCCAGGGTTGCAGTCTGTGCTTCCCCCCATCCCCAGGGCTGAGCAGGGACAAGCCCTTCACTGCCCCAGAGCCCCAGGGGCTGCAGGTGGGCTTTGTGGCCCCCACACGTACTGCTGTTCTCTGTGTATTTCTATATACAGCAAATGTATATGTGTACCAATGCAGGGGGGATGTCTATTAAAGCTGTGCTCACAGGGAGATGTCACACTTCTTGGCACGTTGCTGGAGGTGCCTGGGAAGTTTAGGGACAGCTCTTGGCTCAGGCATGCCCCCTGCCCACCCCATCTGGGCTGCCCTTTCCAGCTGCCCACTGCTGGCAGTGCTGGCTGGGTTCCTCACCCCTTCCAGGGAGCCCAGTGCTCCATCCCTGTGCCCAACACATGCCCAGCTGATGCAAGCCAGGCCATGACCCCCTGTCCAGGCCCTGACGTGTCAGCACGTGAGTCTGTGGTGCTGCATGATGTACTGTGTGAATCAGTGCTGCCAGCTAATTTTGGCTACTGGGTGTGAGTTCCTGGATGTGCCTGGGAGGAGGAACAGAGCTGGCATTATTTCTGTTCCCTGCTCTCCTGGGGAAAGCGGCATAGGGTGGGTCACCCATCGGTTCAGACCACGGGGGTGGGCAGATCCCCAGTGGTCTGAACCCTGGGCACCCTGGCCCTGGCCAGCCCATGGGGCTGAGCACCCACAACTGAGTGACCGCCCAGCCTAAGAGCCTTGGGATACTCCCACAGTCCCTTTGTATATGCAAAACCCTTGTATATGGGGCTCACCCCACAGCGATGCCTATAGGCTGCTAACCACCTTGGGCAGCTGGCAGAGGGGCTGAGCCAGGCTGGACAAAGGTGCCTGCAAACCAGTGGTGTCTCAGTTGAAATGCATTAAGGTGAGCTTCAAGCCACTGGTGTCCTCCAAACCAGTGGCCAAAGCAGTGCTTGGGTTTGGCACAGCAGGGAAGTGACATGCCTCTAGATCTGTCCTCCTTGTGGCCAGGGAGTCTGTCAGGGCACAGTGCCAGACTGGTACCAGGAGCTGTCCGGGGCCTTGTGAGGCACAATGCCCAGAGGGCTGCCCATGATCCCTGCTGGCAGCAATATGCATGTTCTCTCCCTTCCTTGAGTGATTACCAAGCCTGACAGGAGCAGGGAGGCCTAATTAGATTGAGAAAAAAACACCTTGCCAATCAAACATGAAACAATTACAACTGAGCTGTCCTAGGTTCCCTCTAACTGCAGCTGCTGGAGCTGCAAGGGGGCACACACCCACCCACATCCTGGAATGACTTCATCTGCTATTAGACAAAATGTATTAAAAACATTTCCACACTTGCCCCCCCTCCCCTTCCCCCCATCACCGTCACCCCCTCTGCGGGTCAGAGGTGGAGCTGGGACAGGATAAGAGCCAGGGCTTGGCAGGGAGCAGAGCAAATCCCCAGCTTGTGGTCTCTGCACCCTGGGAGCACTGCCTGAACATCAAGGAGACGAGGACCTGCTGCAAATGGTGAGGCTGTGCCCTCAGTGGTGCTTTTCTAGGGCTTTTAGCTGAGAAATAGATTGCAGGGGGTTAGATGCTTTTCATTCTTCACTTCGCAGCAAGTTAACCACTTCTAGCTGCCTGCTTTGGTACTTTCCAAAGGGTTTCACCCAGATACCCCGCTGGGTGACTGATTTGGGGAAGCTATATAGCAGGATTTGTGCAGCATCCCTGCACCTGCTGACCCCCACCCTGTAGCACAACATCCTGCAATCCCTAGGGCCCTCCCTGTGACCAGGGTGAGGGATGGGGTGGAGAAAGTTGCTGTGGCTTGATACAGCTCAGGACATGTGGCCAGTCTCCTGCCCTTGTCACCCCACACAATATGCTGTGTATTTTAGTCTGAGTGGCTGGTGTCCCTCCTTGGTGGGTGGCTTTTGCCCCAAAGAGCCCAGCAACACAGTGGGGAATGGCATCTTCCAGGGAAGGTGTGGGAGGAAGAAAGCCCCACAGCTCGCCCAACCATGAAACCCCAAGGATTTCCCTGGCCAAAGGGCAGGAATAGGTTGGGGAGCAGGCACAGTACCCTGGCAGTCACCCACCTGAAGTTTTCTTCCCTGGCTGACAAAGGGCTGAAGGGTGTGAAGTTGAGGGCACAGCTAGCATCTGGCTGGGGGCTGTGTGAACGGACAAGGACACCCAGGTGATTTGCTTCCCATGTCCCCTACAGCCCCCCAAAACTCCCCACCCTGTTAAACAGGGTTAAAATCAGGTTGTAATAATGAAGGGTTCCTGAAAGGAGGGTGAAGCCCCACCAGCTGCTGCAGAGAGTGGAGGGTATCTGTGGGTGACACCCAGGTGGGGACGCGTCCTGCCTGGGGGGCTGTGGGGCCAGGACAGGGTGATGGGGGTGATGCTCAGCACCAGACATGTGCTCCCCACAGGCACTCCCGGCCACGCTGCGAGGCAGGATGCTGCTCACCTTCCTGGTGGTCCTTGGGGCACCAACGAGAGCCCAGAAGGGACCAAGCCGTGAGTGGCTCCCGCCAGCCCCCCGAGCTGTGGATGGAGAGAAGCTGATGAGACAGGAAACTGCCAGCGATAACAAGATGCTGCCAGGTCTCTCCAAAATGAGGAGGGGTGACAATGGCTCTGGGGCAGGGTCTCATCTGGACAAAGCTGCCCTGCCACTGCTAGCAGGATCAGAAAGACAAGCACTGCCCTGGCTGATGAGCCCAGCCACCAAAAGAGCTGCTCCCAGGAAAAAGGGGAGGAAGGTGTCCCTGTCACTCGATGTCCACACTCACTTACTGAAAATCCTGCTCGACCTGGCCAGAGAGAAGGAACTGCAGGCCAAGGCAGCTGCCAATGCCGAGCTGATGGCCCGCCTCGGGCGCAGGAGATAAACTCCTGGCTGGGATATAGCAGGGCTGGAGAGGGCAGCAGGGCTGCCTGGGGCACAGGCAGAGGGAAGCGTGGAGTGGCATTAGTGTGTCTGCAAGGGACTGTGGCCAGGGCATCTCATCCCCCCAGTCCCAGTGCCCATGACACAAGCAGCAGCCATAGGAGGATTTGGTTTAATAACTATCACCTCTGCAACACTGGAGAAGATACAGCTGGGCTTACCTTGCCCAGTGCTTGAGCACAGCTGGTCCCAGCCCCAGGCACTACAGGGATTTCTATGCTTGGCTTTGCTCCCTGCTCATCCACCACTGAGATGTCTCCAAAGGGGCTGCATCCATCTAGGCAGCTTTTCCTGGGTGCTTCTTCTCTCTGGCTGACTGAAGCACACAAAATCCTCCACAAAGCTTGGACAAGCCTCAAAGCCAGAGTTTTGAGTGAGCATGCACAATAAAAAATGTGGCATCAAATACAACCTGTTGTGCTTTATAACTGTTCTGCACCCCTTTACACTCCCATTTTGTGTTCCCTTTTCCCAGAGATGCTGTGAGGGCATGTGCTTGGCCAGGGCCAGCATGGGAGGTCATTAAATTCCAAATGAAGGGTCAGACCTTGTACCAACAGCAGAGCCAACCCCTGGCCCAGGGAGCCCACAGCAGTTCTGAGCCTACAGGGAAATCGTGTTGTGCCACTGGAGCTGCTGCTTTCAGCACAGCTGGGAGATAAGAGCAGTGTAGAGCAGAGTGCAGCCTCCCTGTGCAAAGTACACGGCGGTGCAAGCGAGACAGAGGCCGGGGGACACCTGCAGGAGGGCCACTGGAGCTGGTGGGGGACACAGCCATGCTCTTTGAAGAGTACCTGCTGCAGGGTGAGTGAGCTCTTCCACTGTGGAGTGAGCACTGGCTATGGGAAAGGGGCAGAAGCAACTGGGGTGACCCCACATTCCATGGGAGGGCCAGATTTCAGGAAGGGATGTGCCAGCAGATGGTGGGTTGGGGTGAGGTGGCAAGGTTGGGTAAAAGGTACTTTGCCATCCCTGTGGCTCAGGTGATGCCTGGGAAGTGCCTGGCCCCTTGAGATACCCCCTTGCAGCCACTGGGTGTGTGCTGTGAGGCTGAGCCCGGAGTCTGTGGTCCAGGATAGAGACAGGGTGCCAGTAGCAGTGGGGGACAGGGGTCGCAGGAAGACCTTCCAGTCTCTGTGCATCCAAGTGGGACACCACACTGCCTTAGGCAGGCAGCCTAAGGGACAACTGTCCATCCCCCAGAAGAGGGTTCTCCCCTGCCACCCACAATTGTTCCCGGAACTCTGAGCCTGTCAGGATCTCCCTTCCATGCACTGCCCCAATGTCTCACCTTTCCTCCCCGGGTCCCAACATGCGCCCACGCTTCAGCCCCTTCTGCCCCTAGCGTCCCCTTATCTTCCCAGGGCCCTTCCTCTGCCCAGCTTAGGGATCCCAGTGCCACACCCATCACCAGTGTTTCCCCCGGTACCAGTGCCTCCTGCCCCATGCCCAGTGCTCTCCGCAGGCTCAGTGTGCCGAGCGGCGTCCCGGGGTCCCCTCCAGGCCCCGATGTACCGAGCGGCGTCCCGGGGTTCCCTCCGGCCCCAGCGCTGACCCCGACCCCAGACCCCCGCCAGCCCGCCTCCGCCAATCAGACCGCGCCATTGCCGATTGGCCCCGCCCCCTCCTGTCAGTCACGGCTCCGCGCCACGCCCCGGACACGTCTGGGGGGCGGTTCCGCGCCTGCGCAGTGCGGCGGCCGCAGTAACAGTGACAGGCTGGCAGGAAAGGGCGGGGGCAGGAAGGGGCGGTGCCGGTACCGGGATTGGGTTTGGGATTGGGACCGGGGTCTAGATCTAGATCTAGGCTGGAACTGCCACTGCCACGGGACGGGAGGGCTGCAGCGACGGGCCGCTCGGTAGCACCATGTTGAAGAAGTTCGACAAGAAGGACGAGGAGTCGGGTGAGGGGGGGCCGGGGGCGCTGTGAGGGAAGAGACCCCTCTGTGGGTACGGAGGGGATTGGTGAGGGGAGACCCCTTCGTGGCTACGGGGAGGGCTGTGAGGGAAGAGAGTCCTGCTGTGGAAATGAGGGGATCTGTGAAGGGGGCACCCCCAAGGGAGCTGGGAGGGGAAGCTCGGTGCCAGCTTGGCGGCGGGGGCTTGCTGGTGTGCACAGAACGCAGTGGGAAGCACTATGAAAGCACCATAGGAACGCCAAGGCAGTCCGCTGCCTCCTTCTCACAGCTGCAGCCAGAGGCTAAACTGGTTGCATCGGCACAGCACACCGACGTTACCTGCCACATCACCAGGTGCAGAACCTGAGACTAAACTGAGCATATTAGCCCTGTTCACAGTTGCCCAGCTCACGAACCAGGTGCTGTAGCCAGGTGGAATCCAATTCATTGTTTCTGACCCACAATCACTGCTGCTTTCAATGGATCAGAAAATCTGAGAGCACCAAGGAAACATGAAGTGACTGCCTGACTTTTCAAAACTTTAGGCTGGTTAGTAAGGTAGAGGTTGATATCTTATGGGGTGTGTAATTCAGGTGGAAGCGATGCATCATAAGACAGTGTTTCCTTTCATGGTTCAGCTTTGTGGTATCTTACCATCTTCCTATGAAGCTTTCCACACAGCTTTCTCTACATAACAAATCAGTGTGTCCTGAAGCAAATTGATTCAGCTTAGATCTTGGTGATTGCTCTGTGTGACAGTGCTTGCTTTTTAGCTTAATGTGCATTAAATGCCTTGCCCTTGTTTCCCTTTACCAGGACCTCCAGTGATGTCTTCGTAAGCAGAGAATTTAGTGAAGCAGCTGTTGGAGGGGAATTGCTCTTGACTTTAATTTTGGGGGCTGTTCTTTATTTGTACCTGCCACACCCATCAAGTTATTGACATTACCTATGGCTAGGGCTGGCAGGAGATACAAGTATCCAGTTAATTGGCTTCTATGTCTTTGCTTTCTATGAATGATTTAACTAGCCCTGGATGACCTGCTCCCACTCCCTTTGACATGTTATTTTGACCACAAAATTATGTTTCTCTAAAAATTAGAATAAATTGTTGTTAGCAATGCAACGTTAGGAACTTCATGAACACCCTGCCCTCCCTGCATCTTTCTCCCTCTCTATGGAAGAAAACTGACGTGGGGTGCTGTGAGGATTGAGACCCCATGTACAATGTATTTCAAGATCCTTTGCACTGTGAAGGATAAAGAGGTGGATGCTGTGTTGTTCATGGCTGACTTAAGGATTGTAGACATGCTAGACCATGGAAATACTGGGCTGCTGGGCAGGTTTTTTGGAACGCATTCGCATACTTATGCTAGAACTGGTTCATACTCATACTAGAGACATTTTTGCTCTTTCCCCTTGTTTTGTTCTACCTCTTCAACCTCACATAAATGTCTGTGTTTTGTTCAGCCACCTGCTGCCGTTGCATACTTATCTTGCGCCAGAGGAGGGCATTTTATGAACCAGGAAGGAGCCAGAGTGCAGATGTCTTTGCTTTTGTATATAAGGCTTCATCTAAGAAGCCTAGGATACTTCAAGCTTGGGTCAGGTCAGGTTTTGGCCCAGGTGGTGTTCTCTCTAGTGTACCAGGCTTTGGAACAAGCAGTGGAACAGCCCTGAAAAAGGCTGCATTTTGTCCCAGGGCCAGGCTGAACATAGGTTCTAATTAAAACCTGCATATCAGTAAATAGCAGCTTGTGAAAAGCTGTAGCTCACAAATGCTTGGGAGGCAATCTAATGGAGACCATGCAGAATTATAGTGTTTTTCCTTCTGATTATTTCATCCTTAATTGCTGGGGGTTTTTAATTATTAGTATAATTTACTTTGTTAAACAGAACAATGAAAATTACTTTGTGTCCAGCCTATCTAGTCTGCTGTCTTGTTCTCTTAATTAGTGATAGAGCCAAAAATACTTTGCTGGTGGATTGTTGATTGGTTTGTATGGGAGGGATAAAACACTCCTGACTCACCAGTCTGACAAACAATTTCTCTTTCTGTCTAAGCTTTTGTTTTTAGGCCTGTCCTACTGATGCTCTAACTGCCAGTAAGCTCTCAGCCCAGGAGTAGAAATAGGTCTTTGGGGATAGTGGAGCATAGTTATTTTACAGCTAATCACTCCACCTCAGCTCACAGTCAGTTGCTTCTGGAGGGGAGGGCAAATTGAAGAATGTCCTGTCTGCTCTGCCTTCCCCGACTGCCATAAAGACATCCAATTAATATTACTTTAAAGGGGGTGCTCTGATTGCTTGGTGTTCATGAAAAAAATCACCCCAAAATACTCAGACTGTTTTTCAAGTATGGTCATGGTTAAAAAGTTGATTTCCCATGGCACTATCCTTGGGGAGACTTTTACTCTCTTTGTTTTGCAGGTGGGAGTTCCAACCCTTTCCAGCACCTGGAGAAGAGTGCAGTCTTGCAAGAGGTAAATCTTCAGACCATCTCCTCTGTGTACTCCACTGGATAGTGTCTCTCCCTCTCTTGAGTAGGTCACTGGAGAACTTCAGCAAGGAAATGAGGGTTTGTTACAGTCCTGCTTCATCTGAAAGAAATGGGAAACAATTCTTATTTTATTATTGGACAGGTGAAGGGAGAAGGTTTAAATGGTCTCTGTAACAAATTAAAGACTGTGAACTATAAATAGTAATAAAAGGAATGAAATTATCTGGGAAAGCTCACTCCTAACCAATGAGATTGGGTAATTTGCCTTGGACACCTCAAATCTCTTGTGGATGACAGAATTAATGAGGGGTGTGAGTGGTTGCTAAATAGTTTTATGAATTTTCTCTGAAGAAATGCTATTCTTTTCAAGGGCAGCTGAACATCTCAATCCCCAGCCCCTGTTGTTTCAGCATTCTCTGTTTGCTAGTGAGACTGGGAGTGGTGTTGGCTCCTATAGCCTCAGTGAGCTTAAGTTTGTTGTCAGAAGAGTGGTGTTTTAGATAGCATACAATGCAGACCTGTGTGGGTGAAAGTGCGATGAGAATTTAAACCTTTATTACTCTTAGATTTCTAGTCCCAGACTGCAAAGCCAGCTGTTTAAAGAGGTCCGTGTTTAACAGGAATTAAAGGGAAATCTGATCCAGAGTCATTAAGTATCTTGCCATACCTCACTCACAGTGTGTTGTTGGGACAGGCAGGACAATATCTGCAAGGAGGTGTCAGGGTCAGTCCTTATCTGTGCTTTGTTTCCAGGCTCGAGTGTTTAATGAGACTCCCATAAACCCACGAAAATGTGCTCATATCCTCACCAAGATCCTGTATCTCATAAACCAGGTACGAGAGAGAAAATATACATCTATATAGACTTGTGCATCAGGCCCAAAGCTGGTTGTGATGACTGGGGCTTCCTTTCTTCTTTCCAAATGACTAGGGGGAGCACCTTGGTGTCATGGAAGCTACCGAATCCTTCTTTGCTAT